GGGGGAGGGGAGGAGGGGAGGGGAGGGGAGGAAGGGAGGAGAGGGCATGAGGGCAGCCAGTGGATGAGGATGGGGCCAGTATCTTCTGGGGCATCCCACCTCCCCACTGTTGGCCGAGTTCCTCTGACCCATCCCTGGAGATATTGAAGAGCAGGTTGGACAGACACCTGTCAGGGATGGTCTAGACGGTGCTTAGTCGTGCCGTGAGGGCAGGGGACTGGACTCGATGACCTCTTGAGGTCCCTTCCAGTTCTCGTGTTCTAGGATTCTATGACCCATCTGCCCGTCTGCATCCCGCCTGCAGGGGGAGAAACCAAGCGGTGAAGGGGAGCAGGCTGGCAAGTTTCTCTGGGGCTTAGGGATGGGAACCAGTGGTGAGGTGGGGTGCGCTGAATACGGGGCTGGGGTGAGCTGCCCTAGGGAGGCTCATGGTAACAGGGAAGAAGTCAGGAAGCAGGGGGTCTGGTGTGGGCCTTTGCGGGGGCTGTGTCTGTTGTGGGGGAAGGGCGGGGGAAGAGAATGGGGGTGGTGCCAATTCTCACTAAGCGCCAGAGAGAGGACCCGCCCTCCTGAGCTAGGGAGCTGCCTCCTGTGGCCTCTCTCCTCCTGCTCTGGCTGAGCTTCTGTAGCTGCACAGTGCGTTCAGACCATGCCTCTTGCTCGACCCACGGACACGCACCAGGGCCACGTTCCGGCCCGACGCCACCCCCGAGCCCTGGGATCACGCTCGTCACCCGAGGCCCTTTCTGAATCAGTATGTGGAAAGGAACAGAAAAGCTTAAAGAACTCCTCCACAAACTGAGCACATCTGGGAAGCGACGCTTAAATGGCCCATGGTCCGTCAGCAAAGCACATTGCTCTTTAAGCTACGAAAGCGGAGCGTGGCCTTTAATATGTGTAGCTGATTCTCTCCGATATCCCTGGGTTTGGCACCAACATCGCCACCTGGGCACGTGGAGCCGTGAAACAAATTGCTTTGGGTTGCAAAGAACCTATTGACTCAAAAGGAAGTGTCCACTTATCAGGCTGATAAAGCATCAGAAAAGCAGCCGGCCTCAAACTGCACATATTAAAGCAAGGAAGGAGAGCAGAAAGGCAGGGAAAGCAGGGCAGGTCGCCACTGAGCACAGGAAGGGTCGGAGGAAGGCTTGTTCTCTAAACCAACCTGCAGGCATCCCCCGACGTTGACACAGGGGACAGAGGGGGGAATTTTTCGGAGAGGGGAGAAGGGCAGTCTAGGTCACTGTCTTTCTCAACTGAACAGAGGGGTGCCCGCAGCTCCTTGGCTTTCAACCTCTCCGAGGCACTGTCCTCGAATACGTCGTCATCCCCCATGTCGTCGGAGCAGAAGTCCGAGCTCTCCACCAGCACGCTGGAGGATTTGGCCACATGGAAGCGGCTTGGATCGCTCTCCAGTTCATAGAACTTATGCAGGCTGCTGGCGCTTGAGCTGTGGGAGAAGGAGAAGAGGTACCGCAGCAGCTTTTTGCCCCTTGAGGAGGTCTCGTTGTCGGCCTTGTCCTCCAGGAGAGGTATGTGCACTGTGCGGTGGTTCTCGGCTGCTCCCAGGGCGCTCGAGTAGTTGGTGGAAAGCGAGGGCACGTAGGAGCGTTTAGAACTGCTAAAAGAAAAAGGCCCGAGACTCAGCAATTTCTTCTCTTGCTGATTAGCCCTATTAATCCTTAAACACTGCTCCTGGGTTGCGGTCAGTCGGCCTTCAGAGCACGTCCGCTCCCCACAGTGAAAGCCTTCCGCAGTGCTCTGTGCCTTCTGATCCATGTCGTTGAGAGACTTGGAGAACTTCAGAGCTCGGGGGGCTTTTGCATGTTTCGCAGGGACCCTGTCCTGCCCAGGGGAGTTTCTCTTGGAGGCCTGTAACGTGTCTTGACAGATGACTGTCACTGTGACCCCTGGTGTCAGAGAACTCTGGCAGCGAGGGTTTTTCAAGACAACAGCAGACTGCACGGGACTGTGATGACAACATTCAGAAAACACTGCACTGGAACTGCATGCCGAACAGTGGGATAAAAGCACAGAAAGTAAAACACAATTACACAAGAGAACACGCAGAATCAAAGTGAAGAAACGAGAGTTATGGCTAGTGTGGGGATGGCGAACACAGCAAGCAAACAGGAAGTGGATCCCATTGAGCAGCGAGAGACGGTATTTGACTGAAACAAAGGGGACATTTAGAGTTGGCACCCTCGGTCGCTTGCTTCCTAGTGCGCTGGATTTTTCCATCCATCTGTCCTAGTACAAGCCCCGCTACAAACAACCAACGTTACCTGCAGATGTCCTGATTGGATGGCGTCACAGAAGTCCGAGAGAAGCTATGAGGAGCAGAAATGGAGGTTGGACTGCCAGCCTGCAACAAGAAATCACAGTGTTAAACAGTGCCTGGGGAGAGGTACTGCACCATGTCCAATGCTCTTGGGTTAGCTGTAACGAGTGAGCATTGAGGAGACAAGTGCTGAGTGTCAAAGAGCTTCATTAGACTAACGAGCACACACCCTCACAACCTGTGGAAGAGGAGCACACCTCCTAACACCAAACTGCAGCCTTCACTGGGGTGAAGCCTGGCGACTTTTAAACTGAGAACAAGAGTTCAGGGGCGGGAGAATGCCCTATTCCTTCATAAGAGGAAGCAGACAGGGAGAAGTATTTACCTTATTAGGGTTTAATAAGCATACAGGGACGAACACTCCTACTCTCACTGAAAATACCACAGGGCTTTTTAAATGATGCCGACAAGTGGTCAGGGCCTTGGGTTTCCAAAAGCCCGATCCAGGATCCGTCCATATGGGGCCCACTCACTAGCCTTGGTTACCCATCGGGTGCCGAGCATTGGAACAGTGCTGCAGAGGACAGAGCTCTACGCAGAGGCCCCGTCGGGTGCGTGGGCGACGTTAAGCAACATGGTGTAGGGGTGGTGGCAGGCACGGGGGAGGGGAGGAGGTGCCAATACCTCAAATGTCGGCACCGCAGCATCTGCCATGCTGGGTTGTGATCGGTGAACGAGGGAAAACCGCTCGAGGTGGGCAACTGACAGCCCTGAGCCTCGGCACTGGAGACTGCACGGATCACTTCTTACTGGTGACTGAGAAACATTTCAGCCATTCTGACGTGCTGTAAATCTTCAGACAACGGAGTCAGAGATGTGCACCCGCTATGTAAATGGAGAAGCTGAAGGCAGGCATTTCATTTGACACTATTATCCTGGGCTTGAATAAAGACATTAACTGGTGAATGCACTACAAAGCCAATTTCCCTTGCCTTTGACTTCCGCATTTTCACATCAAAGCTATGAATGGGACACATCCAGCCCACTTCATTAGCTTCATTAACACAGGTCCTATAACTGACAGGTACTTTTGCTGTTATATAGCTCTTAGATTGTTATTTTCACTCCAACTCATCTGATGACATGGGTCTTACCCACAAAAGCTCGTGAGTCTATATATTTTTGTTAGGTCTCTAAGTAAGGGGCCATAGGACTACTTGTCTATAAAAATTACAGTCGCAGAAAGCTTCGTGCCAAATCTATTTGGTTTGTCGCACCATTAACTGTATCATTGTGACGTAGTGGGGGTACCTGGCTGGTTTCTATGCTGCTGGCTCTGGGGTAACCCCCACTGGCTGCCGTGGGTACCACGACCCAGCAAAACAGGATGAGTCACTATGCAAACCAGTATGGCCAGACACCCCCCATGGAGAGGAACAAAGGAAGGTGGAATGCTGCCCTGGCTGGGGGGCAGGGCTGGAAGAGTGTTGGTTAGTTGCTGGCTGGGAGCATGGAGGAGACAGCCTAGGGAAAGGGACTGGAGTTTAGGGGCCCAGTCTCCCCCATCTCAAGGGAGCCTGAGGCATCCTAGCCCAGCTCTGTGACCAGATTACATCTGTGCTGTGCTGTATTCTGGAGAGGCAATAAACTTCCTCTATTCCACCGGCTGGTGCAGTCTGTTTGTGCCATTTCGGGGTGCAGGAGACGGGGGACCCCCAACGCGCCGTCACAATCATCAATGGTTGGTTATATTAACTTTTCGCTGAGGAACATAGCTCAGATATTTTATACTATGAGAATCAACACCCCCGCAACACAATGAGTCCTAAACTATGTACCCTGAGCAGAGTTCAGGACAGAGCCAGATGATTTTTGGAAATGCTGGTGTTTGTTTTACTGCCATCGCAATCAACTTCAAAACAGGTTGTTCTCTGACATCAGCTGTTCCTGTCTCCAAAGCGATTTGTATGGTAATTGTAGTTTTTCAAAAAGAACAAACAACAACACATCAGTGTGGGAGCTGACATTTGGATCTGCAGTAATTATGCAAATGTGCAGGAACGAGATTTTTTTTTCTAATGCGGCAGCACTTCAGGACATATTTAGCAAACTCTTAAAAACAAAATATTGACCCAGCAGAACAGCATGTTGCACTCTCACTCAAATGCAGATGTTGCTTTAACACAGCGCTTTACTCAAAACACCCGTCAGGCTCTCAAGAACTAGCTCTAGGAAGTTGCTGGCAATATGAGTTCTGGATCCAGGGCTGAATCCTGGCTCTGCTTCCCATGGCACGAAGAAGCCTGCAAACATTCAGCAGTGTCCGTGTGGACCCAGGACTGGCTTGGTCCACACCCAGCACCTCGGGGCCTAGCGCAGGAGGAGCCAAGAGGCTCTTGCACCTACTCCACGGGCTGTTAGGGGATGGAGAGACCATTCAGCCCTCAGAAGGGTGAGCCACAGAGTTATTCTCGGGGGAGGTAATGGTGTAGAAAAGGGACTCTGATGGGGGACCCTGAAACGACACAAATGAAATGGCAAGCATGGAGCCTGGAGGGTGTGGTCTTGGCTGGGTGCTGTTTCCTCTCCTTTCACCTTTCCAACCAGGCTCGGGGAGGAGGGATCTGTTCAGAACCACCAACCGGGAGAGATCATTGCCTTGAGCCACATGGGCCATGCATCTCGCTGGCTGTCAATCGGCCCGGCAGGATCTCCATCTGGCACCCGGCATGTTCACTGCGTTCCTGACATCACTGTCCTGCCTCCAGCTGGGGCAGCCATCATCTGGTGCTTGGGAGCATGAAATGCTAAGTTGGGTGGGGCGGGCCTTTCACAGCTGCCCCTGAAGAACAAGAGGTACAGTCTGATTAGGCACCTGCAGGCAGCAACCATGCAGGAAGCTCTATCCGGCTCCAGGCGATGGAGGGAAAAGGACCAATGACCGGGTCCGTAATCTGCGATCCCCAATGCTAATGAGGGGTCTAACATTCTTTAGTGAGATGCTGGACAGGGGCAGAGTGACTTCGGTTTGAACAGGGACTCGCCTCCTTCCACCACAGAGTGGTACTGATGCAGGCCAGACGGTCAGCTGCTGCTCCCTTCTCCAGAGAAGGCTGTGTTTCAATGGTGCTGGATGCACACAAGGCCCAATCCTGCAAGCCCTTAATATCAGAACTTCCAGCAAAAGCAGCATTGAACCCATAGTCTGTGCAGAACTTTGGGACGAAAGACTCTAGCGCAACATAAAATATTACTGAGGAGTTTTCTGAGCCCCTTAAAAGTCAGGTTGGTGTTAGAAAGGCTGGTCTTGTTCCAAGTTGAGTTGCATCAGTGGAGACCTAAAACTCTCCTAGCAGGGCTGTAAGAGGTTGCAAAAGCCAAGAATGGACAGAAACAGGTCAATGAAAATTCTCTCTTTGCATCAACTCAGCTAAGTTAAAAACGAACCCTTCAATCAACACTTTGATCAACCACACTGCAGGACAGAAAGTACCGCAAAGGCAGCATACTACAGAGAGTGAAAAAATCAGATCCTGAGACAGCAACCTGGCCCACAAGTACCAAAGGCTATGTTGCAATGTGCAGGTGTTACATCATTAAGGACACAAGAGCGAACTAGTCTACCGTGTAGGAAAGACAGGAAGTGCGGCAGGAGACCCCCAGCTGGAGTCTTGTGTCCAGTTCTGGGCACCACATTTCAAGAATGTGGAGAAATTGGAAAAAGGCCAGAGAAGAGCAACTAAAGTGATGGAAGTCTAGAAAACATGGCCGTCAACGCCTCGCCTTCAGAAGCATGAAATGAACTGGCAGCTTCTTTGAATACGGCAACACGCACACACACATTGACTGGAAACGCCATTATCATTCAAGCTCCCGACACTGGTCTCTGGCTTTTCATGGTGGATCTGTACAGTGCCTAATGAGGTGGGAGTCTGATTCGCAGGTGGTGCCTCTTATGGTGTTTATGTCCACATAACTACAGGTGGTCTCCAAGCAGACTGGGGCATAAGCTTTCAGCACCCCCTCGTCTGACTTCCCGCGTCGATGGCAACTCCTTCTTAACAGGGGAGAACTGGATCTTTCGTCTTTCCAAAGGCCCTCAAAATACACGTCGTGGATTGAGGGGCAGTAGAAAAGGAAAGAGAACTCTACTCCGGCTCTGCTGCTCGCCCCACAGTTCCTATCACAAGATGCTCTTCTTAGCCGCATAAACCAAGTTACCGTGGGGAAGGCAGAGCACCAGAGACCGAGGGATTATTTGACATACGTAAGAGTATTATCATGAGCCCCGGCTTACAAGCATTGGAGGCGGAGAAAAAGAATATACAAACATATTTTAATCTTCTCTTGATGGATTTCTTCCTGCCTCCTTCAGCAGTTACTTGCCCACTCGCGCTAAAATAACAGGTGTGTTTAAAAAGGCAACCACTCGGACACACACAACCCTCTCCTTTTCCAGGGCTCGGGTACCTGAAAACACCACTTCTGAGCAGCTGTTCTCAGCGAGACTTGATCATCAGAAGGGATGCAAGCTCTATGACTGAAAAATCTGGACTGCATTTCTATGGACTAGCATTCACTGAATCCACCAAAGCTCTAGGCTACAGGGGATGTGTGTATTCATATGCTTTTCTAAATCTGTTCCAAGCTGATGATCAGCCTAAATGGATTTGTAAATTTCATAGCGAGTTTAGGCTCCTGCTTTGCATCTGCACTGGCTGCTATTTGTCCCTAAAATGATTTAATACTTTACAGGGCGCCTTTGCTCAAAAGATAAAGCTGTACAGAAAAAACAATGTATTTACATTTTTTGAAGGGTGAACTTCCACCTCAGTCCTACCATTTTCAAAAGTTATCCATAAAAGGATTTTGAAAATAAGGGTAAAAGGAGAGCAACTCCACTGCCTTAAAATTATCCGTCCAGAACCAAGACACGGCACATAGATGACCTGGAGGTATTTCCAAATATTACATCAGCCATCTCTAACTCCATCAGATACGTGAAAGCAAAACACTGTGGTTAATGTGAGGGTAACTGTTCATACACAAACTTCATTAATGACTTAATTTCATCCTCTCGTTAGTAGAATTGCTTTCTTTGAGGTCAGAAACCCTGAAACACCAGTACGGTAAAAACCTTCCTTGAGTGTCTGTGTGCCACTGACCAGTTCAGGGTAACAGGCATCTGTGTTTAGAAGCAGAGGCGTCCCTGCTTAATGGTCGATGAAAGGCAGCCATTACCCAAAGGCGTTTCTCGACCAAGACCCGGATTAATGTAAGACACTGGAAAGGTCAGAATCTGGCCCTGCACTCAGTGTAATTCATGCATAACACCATTCGAGTGAGTAGTGCTCCCTCACGCAAACAGAGGTCACTGGAATGCTTGAAAGGAGGGAGGGGCCTGGACAAAAGCCACACCCCTTGGTGGGCAACAGGCTACTCAAACCCCAGTATCTCCCCATGAGGCTCTGCCCACGTCCCCTCCCCTGCCTTCCTTAGGCGGCTCCTGGCAGGGTCCCTGCCCAGGGATGAGGTGCAGGGTTGCTGAGTACAGTTCCTGCTAAGGTGCGCTCCTGCATGGCCGCACACAAAAAATTCTTTCCCCGCCCACCTCCTCTGGAAAGCTGTGTGTGCGCGCGCGCATGCGCTCCGGCGGCTGGGAATGGGACGTACTGTCCATCTGGCCCTGCTGCCTGGCCTACTGGGTGGAGCTCCCCTGCTGTTTGCCAAATGTTTCACTCTCTCTGATCCCCTCAGAAAGTTACTTCCTTTCCCTGGCCACAGCCACACTCCCCTGGCTAGCTGCCTATCAAGGTCTCTGGCCTCGCCCTGCCCCCCCGCCAGACTGCAGCTCCAGCCCATCCTGTTTAATTAGTTCATCTGGCCCTGCTGCCTGGCCTACTGGGTGGAGCTCCCCTGCTGTTTGCCAAATGTTTCACTCTCTCTGATCCCCTCAGAAAGTTACTTCCTTTCCCTGGCCACAGCCACACTCCCCTGGCTAGCTGCCTATCAAGGTCTCTGGCCTCGCCCTGCCCCCCCGCCAGACTGCAGCTCCAGCCCATCCTGTTTAATTAGTTCACGAGTTAAACTTAACATGTAACTGGTTAACTAATTAAACAGGATTTCCCAGTTTTTGATATAGCAAACACATTTCTCAGAAAAGTTGCAATCGTCACCTTTGTGAATCGTGCACTTGCTAACGAGTGGTGTTTGTAACACAGCTCACTGTGAAATCGACAGAGGGGTGCAAGATCTGACTGATTCCTTTGGCCTTTCAGGACCGCTAGCGCATTGCTACAACATCCTTAACTCCCAGTGACATCCATGGGTGTTTGAATACTTTGGAAGTGCCCGTTTGAGTCCTGAAAATATCAAAACCCACACAAAGCTCTGTTCAATTGCTAAGACTGCCACGGACAAACCTTGTCCAGTTCAAACCCCACCAAAGCCAGACAGTTACGTGTATAATATTATACATCTTTTACATGCATTCACACCCACAAACAATTCATGAAACAACACCCAGGCACCGGATGGCAGCAGAAAACCTTTACTCTGCTTGGAATTCAAAGAAAACTAGACTTTGGGTTTCATTTTCATTGCCATGCGGTGTGTGACTAGTGCAGGCATCAGCTGTAAAACGGATTCGTTTACTAAACAATGCAACAATCTGAATACCTGAAAGTACGAGCTTGTGGGAATGACAAACACTGTCCTCTGAGCCACCCGGCGAGCAATCCTGAGACTACATAGCACCCATTGTTCTAGGGCTGAATTGCGGGGAATTTTGTATCCAGAGTGCAGCTTTGCAGCTGGCTCCTCTCTGTCTTTTATGAGCCAACCAAACCATCAGATCAGATGACACCTAAACACTGGGGGCATTTACAGCTGGAATTCAGTTCTGCAATCAGGCCCAGCGCTGCATGCACAAGCACAGCGGGCAGTCTTTCCAACTTACGCCACGTCTGGCGAGCCTGCCTGCGGAATGCCCCCCTTGAGGTGGGTGTGATTCCCGGCTCGGGGAGACAAACTTGCACTAGTTCCAACTGAGCAGGGCACAACACGGCAGCATGAGCAACAGGGCGGGCTCGCGCCCCCCGAGTGCACATTTGACACCCGAAGCTAAAGTGGCTACTCGGTATCGGCAGACACTCAAACCGACCTAGCGGGGTGTGTCTCCTGGAGCGGGAAGAACACTCCCAGCTCAAAGCACAGACACATAGTAGGTGTCAGGTGGCTGCACACCATGTACCGACTCAGCTTCCACTGAACGCCATGGAAAACCCCGCGCCTGTCGTCTGCAACACGAGCGGTTCTGAGACGGTTCAATCACCTGCCAGGCACATCTCGACTGCTCTGAATCTGGCAATATACAAAGACCTTCAACATCAGCCTCTTGCTCACACACAGGGAGAGACTGGCGAAGCATTTCCTACAGCGTTAGCACTGCTCTAGTACTGTAACCCTGAGCGCAGGGCGTAAGTCGTGGGGAGAGCAGCATGTAGGCGTACGCAACAAACTCAACTCTACCCGCGAGTGGCCAGCTAGCAGGCAGCTAAGGTTGCCAGGTGTCCGGTATTCACCCGGACAGTCCGGTATTTTCGCCTCCTGTCCGGTAAAAAAAAAAAAATCAGAGAACACCGGACATCTGAGATGTCCTAAGCTGTCCGGTATTTTCTGAATTTTTCCCCAGCCAGGAGGTGAAAATGCCGGGAACCTGGCAACCCTACAAATACTCAGTGCCTGGCCTTCCCCTCCACCCCCAGCACTCCCAGCCCTCTGACCCCAGCCCCCATGCTTACCTGGTTCCCCAAGGCTGCCGGCACAAAATGGCTGCTGGCCAAAAGACCTAGGAGAAGCAATGCTTCCCCTGGGTCTTAGTGCTCAACAACTCCCCTTTTCTTATCCCTGCACTCACTCTTAAAGGGAACATGCTGTTTTAATGCCTTTTTTTTTTTAAAGGCTTAATAAGTCTTAGAGTCCTTTTTTTTTTTTGCTCTACAACTTCGGTCTCCCCCCACTTTTTTCCCTTTCAACAGAATTTTTCCTGTTTTTTTTGGGGGGGGGGGAAGAGGGGGTTCAGTATTTTTGTTTCAACCATCTAGCAACCCTACAGGCAGCACAAGGCTTCTGCAAATGTATTTTGTTGAGCAAAAGAAGTTCATGTGCCTGTGGTTTTAAATATTACTGAGAGATGGGTGAATTTGCCTACTGGGAACCAGCAACAGTGTTATTGCGGTGTACTTCTTTGTTAATGAATGCTCTAGCATTTTATCAGGCGCACGCGCACGGCGCAAGTGTTGGGCAAACGATTATTTGAAACAACAAACTGTGAAAGGAATGTGGCGGCAGATCAACAAGTCTGGAATTTTGCTAAAGCTAAACAATGACATTTTAGTAAGGCCCAAACGGACTCATGGACACTAGGGATGTAAAATCCTGTTTAATTAGTTAACTGCTTACACATTAAGCTAAGAGTAATGCTTACTGGGTAACTGGTTAACCAGTTACCCGTTCGCACCCCTGGTGGGCATGTATGGAAATAGGGCATGTATGTAAATAGAACCATCAGGGACCCTGTGGCAACCACACTGGGTGGCAGAAGAGTTCAGGTCTCCCTATGAAAACCTGCAGCTACGAAGAAATTAAATCTTAAAATTAACTCGCTAATTGATGGATTAGGCCAAGCCATTAAAAATGGAGGAAGCGATGCAGGGTTATTACACAGCATGCTTATCTGCTCCTCATGCATGGGAAAGGGAATTCCTGCTATTGGGGAAAAAAATTGCAATTGGCAAAGCTAGAAGGTCATGAACCTTGGGGACCACGTGAAAGTAATAATCCGGCTGTGTCTGCGATTCCCAACTGGTCAGGGTATCCTCAAGAATTGGTGTCTGTTAACAGCGTGGGTACAACAGAGAATGGGACCGATTAGTACGTGTAGACGGCAACACAAGGACATGAAACAGTCTGCTGTAAACGAACCAAAAAGGGAGGGGTCTGGGGAGGGCTTGGTCCAAATGAACCTGACCACAGCGAGGGAGGCTGGAGCTAACTAGTCATTACAGAGACCGAAGGGGGTCGTATGGATATAAGGCTGAGTCTTTGTTCTGGGCTACCACAAGTCTTCACTGGGGATCACACCATCTCGGGGAGCCCGGCTGGGTTTTGTCTGCACTGCCCCTCTCTCTGGACTCCGCTTGCCCATTACACCCCTAATCTGGTCCACGGGATGTAGAGAGGGGGTAAAGAGGAAATGAATCATGGTCGGTGTGTGGGCCAATCCACAAACGTGTGGTGCAATGTCTGGAAATCCCAGGTTTCTGTTTCACTCTGGAGCTGTGATGTAACCTGCATTCGTCTCCCTCCAACCCCCAGCATCTGAGTCTACTCATAAAACGATAGCCTCTATACAAGCTCGAATTGCCCAGGAGAGGGTGGGGCCATAGAAGACGTACCTTATATTGACAGGAAACATATTGACATACCTTCTAGAGACATAGAAGAAAATCTAAAGTATGTTGGAGTCATCCTGTGGAATAACTCAGGCGGGTAAAAGGCTGGGTGTTACTGGCTGTGTGCACCATGCTGGAAGGTGGGAGCAGTCCAGGAGTAGAGGCAACAGCAGCAACACAGCGTCAAAGGCACCCCAGGTTGGAGGGCAGGGATAACACCGTTACTAGTCAAGACAGTACCCTGAATATGTCCCAAAGACAGCTCATTCCAATTTTCACACAGAGTCCTGCATCCTTTGTAATTAGCCATCATTATAAATGCATATACTCCACACAGGTTTGGAAAAACAAAATCACACCAATTCAGATTTACCAACAATGGTCATCCATGGCATACGGTACCTTTGAGATGTTGCTGGAACGGCTCACGGAATGCCCCAAAGCCTTCTCATTCTGAAAGAGAACAGAAAAGATTGTTGGAGTGACCGAAAGCTGCTGGAGAGAAGTGTTACTTCAGGCAGTAACACTGAAACCAACAGACGAAATATCACAGCAAGAAAGATTTACAGGATTTTGCTCCTACTGAAGTCAATTTGAGTTTTGCCACAAACTCCAGTGGGACGAGGACTGGGCCCTTTCATCTCTATAATGGCTGTATTACTGCACAGAACTCAGCTGTACAAGTCTGAACTGGGGAATTTTAAGACCGAGAACAGGAGGGCAAAGTCATTGTTCTGCATCGCAGATATTTTGAAAAGGAACCCCCCCCCCCACACCTCTTATCCGCTGAAAAATTATAACCACTGCAGGAGAAACGGGCAGGCCTTACTCAGGAAAGGTATCCCAGTTATGTCACAAAACACCGCCGAATAAATCACGCCATTTCATTATGTTATACAACCCCACCACAGAATTGCTTTCTCCAGGGACACCGAGCATTCTCACAGGGGGAACACCATGCAGGCAGTGTTGTTGCCGCTGCGTGGGTCCCAGGATATTAGTGAGACAAGGTGGACGAGGCAGGACCAACTTGTCTTGTGAGAGAGACAAGCTTTCCAGCTACACCGAGCTAGAAACACTAAGACAGCTGGAGTTGCGGAAGATCTGCTGATTCCCGTCAGTCATTTATCATAGAATCATAGAACACTAGGACTGGAAGGGACCTCGAGAGGTCATCGAGTCCAGTCCCCTGTCCTCATGGCAGGACCCAGCACTGTCTAGACCATCCCTGATGGACATTTATCTAACCTGCTCTTAAATATCTCCAGAGATGGGGATTCCACAACCTCCCTGGGCAATTTATTCCAGTGTTTGTCTACCCTGACAGTTAGGAACTTTTTCCTAATGTCCAACCTCAACCTCCCTTGCTCAGGGGAGATGCATTTCATTCCACAGGTGTCCATGCAATTGTAAGTGGTAGGGAATAGAACCTGAACCCCCTTTACCTCCTTTGCCTGCCAAGCGGACCGTTAGGTATTTCTTTTGTGTTCATTGCCACCACCCATCCATTTCACTTTCTGAAGGTAATGTGATTTAGTCACCAGCGTGATCTGGCACATCCCAAAGAAATGCAAGAATGGATTATCTGACAAGGATATGGCTTATTCTGGAGGGAATCCAACAGGGAAATTTTTCTTTTCAAAACACACCAGGGATGAGGCCACTTCACAGTGTCGGGATGCAAATCAGGATCCAACTTCCTCACACTTTGGGGGCGGTCAGATCTGCTGTTCTGGATTGGGATTATCCCTCAAATATAATGCATATTTATCACCCGTTTCCATAGTTACTGGGCCTGCGCGAGAGTCACCCACAGCGTGCCCTTCCCTTTGGCAGCTTTGGGACCAAGCTGCTTCATTCTCACCAGGTGGTGTTTCTCTCTCCAAGAGACACGTTTATGTGCTACCAACGGGACTCGGACCGGAGACACGACACCAAACAGCACCCATGCTGCCGTTCAGGCTGCTGGGAGGCTGAACTCGGTACCCAAGAGAAAGGATGCAACTAAATATAGAAATCCAAGAGTCAGGTCAATTGCAGCACATCAGAGATCAGCCTAGAGGCGAATCGACATGCACGTCCTGGGGCGAGCCGGTCGTGTCTGGCTACAGTTCAGGTGGCCATTTTTAATTCCACGGCAAGCCAGTGTGAGGTCAGACCAGTCCCCAGGCTGCACGAACCCCCCATTTAACACCAGCATGCTCCAAGAGAGGCAGCTCCTTGAGCACAAGCCTTGTGCTGTCAAAAGCTCAGTGCTGGGAGAGGGGAGGAGAAGCAGGTGGCAAGTTTTCATCAGCAAGGGCGGAGCTGCTTTTAAACACCAGCTCCCGTTTCCTCCCTCCAGCTGGGAACAACATGCCAGGGAGACAACCACGGCCCCCTCCCCAGGCTCTCCGTAGGGAGACATGGCTGCATGGCAGGGGAGCAGCAAGCACGACGGGGCGTTGGCTGCTTGGTTACCATGGACCTTGCACATGCCCAGAACGGGATTCCGCTCCCCAGCCGTCCCGTGAGACTCCGTGTGGCAGGGGGAGCACCAGGGAAAAGGAGCCATTGCTCTGCGTGTGGCAGCGAACTCTCTCTCAAAGAAGTGCCAATGAAGGATGTGGATGGTTAATTGGTTAGTATCCCCCTTACAAGGTAAGGCTTACCGGTTATAGTTAATCAGCAGGGGCTGGAGCAGCGCCCACTCCAGCCCAGCCAGGATAGAGCAGCCTCTCCACACGCTCTGTGTAATCGGTTAACCAGAATGTTTTACCAGTTAACTAATGACATGGAATTTCTACACCCCCAGTGCCATCTGCGAGCCACTGAGCTCTTTTACAAGGCCACTGACTGTCACGTTTAAAAAGAGCCAGCGGCCGGATTCAGAGCTGGACGAACTGGGCCTACGTCACCGTTGACTTCAATGGGCGCGGCATGTGCAGATTGAATTTAGCATAAGAGGCAGAGAAGTGAATGGGAATGAGCATTCCTGGAAGCTGGGGACCAGGCGGAGGAACCAGCAGCTAACAAGAGAGGATAGACCGTGGGGGTACCTGAGAAGTGACATGTGGATTGTGCTATCACAAGGCAGCGCTGCAGTCGCTGGCTGGGTCCCAAATCTCGTCGCCCCCATCGAAAGGAAACGTGACTATAGCAACAGGGAAAGTTGGCTGGCGCCAGAGACGGCTGAGGAAGGAAGAAAGGGGCTGGAGGCAGCTTCAAAAGCTCTGCTGAAGAGAGACTGGCTCAGGCCGGGAGCATGCAGAGTGCTACATAACCGGGAGGGCTCACTCACTCCCCTCTGGCAACGGTGATGTAGAGAAGGGTCAGGTGGACTAGAGAGAACGACAGAGGGAGAGTCTGAATGCTGCACCGCTAACCAACTAAAGACTGAGGCTGGGATTTCAAATGCCTTTGAGAGGAAACGAAATGATCAAAGCTTCTCGCTGCTAACTGTGCTCCTCTCCCCTGCCCGCAACTCCAGCAGACTCCAAGTTAGGAATCGTTACTGAATACGCAGGCGTATCTCGGTTGGAAAGAGAGACAAGGGTGAGCTTCTCTCTTAATGGATCAGCTATGGGGGTGGGATGCGCTTCCGAAGTGACACCCAGCTCTTCTCCGGGTGTGTTGAACGGGACAAGCTGAAACTGCGTCAGAATGAATGGGCTGACAACAAGGGCCACACGTGCTCAATACGATAAACGAAGCAGGCCACAGAAACCAGCCTTGCTGCCGAATTCCTGAGATTGAGATTTTATTTGTGGAATGCGCTGAGCAGCTGAGACACCCCTCCCAGAGCGAGGGATCACAACAGGGAATCATCACGTGATCCCTCCCCTATCACCCATTTCTAGCCTCTGACAAATAGAGGCCAGGGACACCATTTCTACCCATCCTGGCTAATAATTATTGATGGACCTAATCTCCATGAATTTATCTAGTTCCTTTTTGAACCCTGTTAAAACCCTGGTCTTCACAACTTCCTTTGGCAAGGAGTTCCACAGGTTAACTGTGAGCTGTGTAAAGAAAAACTTCCTTTTGTTTGTTTTAAACTTGCTACCTATTAATTTCATTTGGTGATCCCTAGTTCTTATGTTATGGGAAAAAGTAAATAACTTTTCTTCGTTCACTTCAGTCTTGATTTTATAGATCTCTATTATATACTGCCTTAGTCTTCTCTAAGCTGAAAAATCCCAGTCTTTTTAACCTCTCTTCATATGGGACCCGTTCCAAACCCCTAATCATTTTTGTTGCCCTTTTCTGAACCTTTTGCAATGCCAGTACATCTTTTTTGAGATGAGGCAACCACATTTGTACGTAGTCTTCAAGATGTGGGCATACCATGGTTCTATATAGAGGCAATAAAATATTTGCTGTTTTATTCTCTATCCCTTTTTAATGATTCTGAACATTCTATTTGCTTTTTGACTGCCGCTGCAAACTGAGTGGATGTTTTCAGAGAACCATACACAATGATTCCAAGATGTCTCTCTTGAGTAGTTATAGCTAAATTAGTCTCCATCATATTGCATATATAGTTGGGATTCTTTTTACACACATGTATGTTTAAATATTTATTTTTTTGTACCAACCCCTCTTCTCCTTTCACACGGATGCTATACCACATGGGGATGCAACTGTGGGGAAGAGTCACATGCAAGAGAGTAATTTTTTCTCTCTTTTGCCAGGAGAGGTAGGGGAACTCCCCCGGGGAGGGAACAGGCAGAAGTCCTGTGACTAGCACCCCCCCGGGATTCCACCTAGAGAGAACAACATTAAGATCTCTCTGAAACTCCACAGCAGCCCTCCCATGTAAAGCTGCCTGGCACAAGCACGGAATCGTACATTTCCTGGACAGTTAGTTCTTGCCCTCTCTGGGCAACACCCACCCGGTTCTGGCCTGTTAATGGCTCGCTCCCGGCCTGCTAGAGGTGAATTTACCATGGTGTCTTTCCTCATGTGCTGGCCAATGGTAAGAACATGGTTACTTCCACAGCATGACTGGGAACATGTAGGATCAAGCAGAAGCAAAACAGGGCCTGTGTGGGAGCCATGCTCTGGCTAATAATTAATTAACAACAGAGTAGGGGAATAGTGCTGGATTGTATTCAAAGGCCACCGCTTCATTTCAGTGTTCTCTTCCTAGCAGTGCCCAGTGTCAGTTACAGTTTAAAAAATCCCCTCAAAGCAATCAGATGGGATAGCAATCCCTTCCATATATTGCTTTGTGAATGTGTAGCCTCAGCAGGACTGAGCTAACCGGTTCTGGAACAGCCTCGACGCAGACGTGCCTACCTGGGGTTTTACATCTGAAATCATAATGTTGGTCTTAATACAGTCCCATGCATTTGGTTTCCCTTCTATAATAGCAACTGACGCATGCATTGGCATTTTATCGGACGTTGTGATAGCCTCGGCAGCGATTTGCATGGACGAGGCATGGAGAGAGGATTCTATCTAAATATTTT